CCAGGACTCGTTTGAGCAAGCCATCTTCCATGATAAATGAGTCCCACTGGGCCCAATATGTCTTAACTACTGAGCCTAGGTTCGATATTTCTTGCCAAGGTGGTCGACGGTTTTCTTCTTTCCATTTTCGGATTTTCTGTATAACTGGATCTCTCTCTTGTTCTTCCCTGATCTTGGTAGGCGTCCAGTCGTCGTGGACCACCGTCGTTCTTAGCACTGCTGCTTCCTTGGATTCCGTTTTGTTGCAGTGAGAACACTCTGCTGGGCATGGCCTTCTGGAAAGAGAATCAGCGTTTCGGTGGCTAACTCCGGCCCGGTGCTCAATCTTAAAATCATATTCTTGGAGTCGTTCGATCCACCTGGCTATCTGACCCTCTGGATTCTTAAACTGCATCAACCACTTAAGGGCGGCATGGTCGGTTCGGATTAAAAACTTCCTTCCATAGAGGTATTGATAGAAGTGCTATACTGATTTCACTACTGCCAGAAGTTCTCTTCTCGTGACGCAATAATTTCGCTCAGGTTTTGAGAGAACTTTACTAAAATATTCAAGGACTCTTTCCTGTCCTCCTTGGATTTGAGACAGCACTCCTCCAATTCCCACATTACTTGCATCTGTATCTAAGATGAACTCTCCTTCTGGCAGTGGATACCCTAAAATTGGTGCTATGATTAAATGCTTTTTTAAGATCTCAAAGGCATTTTGGCAGTCTACATCCCAGCGGTATTCTCTTGCTTCCTCTGTAAGTCGCGTTAATGGTTTAGCGATATCTGCAAACTTCTTAATAAACCTTCGGTAATAAGTACATAGTCCAAGAAAACTTCTCACTTGATGTTTGTCAGTTGGTTTTGGCCATTCCTTAATGGAATCGATTTTTCCCTTATCCACAGCCACTCCTTCTTTACTGACTATATGACCCAGATAATTGACTTTACCTTGAAATAGCTGGCACTTCTTGGGGTTTAACATCAATTGGGCAGCTTTAAGTCGATTAAAAACGTTTTCTAAATTCTTCAGATGGTCTTCAAATGTCTCCCCCAAGACGATTATGTCGTCTAGATAAACTAGGCATGTTTTCCAAAATAACCCTCTCAACACATTTTCCATAAGCCTCTCAAATGTCGCAGGAGCGTTACAAAGTCCAAATGGCATAACGTTGAATTGCCATAATCCAGATCCTGTGGTGAAGGCTGTCTTTTCTTTATCTACCGGGTCCATTTCTACCTGCCAGTATCCAGACTTCAAGTCCAAAGTAGAAAATAATTTACTTCCAGCCAATGTGTCCAATGTGTCATCGATCCGAGGCAGAGGATAACTGTCTTTCTTGGTAACGTTGTTCAGCAAACGGTAATCCACACAGAACCTCGTTGTTCCGTCTTTCTTCTTAACCAGGACCACCGGAGAGACCCATGGGCTCGTAGAAGGTTCTATCACCCCGTCTTTCTTCATTTCCTGAACAATCGTTTCAGCTTCCTCTCTTTTCGCCTGTGGTAATCGTCGAGCTGTTTGACGAATTGGCTTAGCATTACCAGTATCAATTTTATGCTTAACAACGGTAGTTCTTCCCGTCTTTCCTCCTTTCGGTACGAAAATATCACGATACTGCCGAAGAAATTCCCTTAATTTCCTTTTCTCAATCTGATTCAGAGACTGTCCAGCAACTGCAACCATTTGATCAAATTTGTCGTTGGAATTATCAGACGTTGTCGTCTGACGGATTATGGATGTAACAGGTACACAAGTTCCTACTTTTGTCTCTTTCTTGATGGTCACTGGGTAGTCATTGACATTAATAAGTCTTACAGGAATTTCTTTAGCCGAAGTCACTAATTCTTTTCCAATTATGATTCCACGGCCAACTTCGTCGTCATGATTCCAGGGCTCCATCATAACAGGTGTTCCTTCGTCCACAATTCCCTGACGCCGCGCTACTATTATCGTTTCACTTCTCGCAGGCACGACTGTATCTTCTTTAACGGCTGCTTGCATAGTGTTGTCATCATGTGGATGGAGGAATACCTCCTCGTTACCAACTTTGATTACCTTATTCTTAAAATCCAATTGGAATCCATGCGTATTCATTACGTCCATTCCTAATATAACATCCTCTTCGATGTCAGCAACTATAACAGTATGGACGAACTTTTCTGCTCCAATTCCTAATTGTACCTGGATTTCTCCATGAATGTTGGCATTTTCACCTGTGGCGGTCCGAAGTCGCAACCTCGTTGGTAACAGTTTCTTACGGCTGTTTATAACTGTCGGGCGAATAATGGTTCTTGTCGCTTCAGTATCCACCAATAACGTATGCTTTTTACCATTTATTTCTCCATCTACATATACACTATCTTCACGACATTTCAAAGAAGCTATCAGTATGAGAGGGTCTTTGGAAAAGTTCTGGGTCGAAGCTGCCCCCCTAAGGCCGACCCGTTCTAGTTTTCCTGATGGTGAGTTTCTTGATTTGCGTCGTACCTAGGATGCTTACAAGAACTTCGTACATGTCCTATTTCGCCACAATTCCAGCATCTTATGGTCTTCGGTTTCTTGTATGTCATGCTTTTCATCATATTAACGAGCTGGTCAAGTTTACCTTCATCTTCTTCCTCTTTTACAGTCCTAACTTTACTGTAACCGCCAGAGGCCTGCGTAGCTGACTCGTATTCGAGGGCGGCGGATAAGACATCAACCAGCGTCTTGTGACGAGCTAATCGTAGTGTTCTTTGCATCTCATGATCACGAAGACCATCAATAAACGTTTGAACGGCCAACTTTTCCATCATGTCTTCGGGAGCTGTTGGATAAGCATATCGCACTAATCTGGCGATATCTACTTCATATTCTTGAAGAGCCTCATCTTTCTTTTGTCTTCGATTTTTGAGCTGCGACTGATATACATGTTCCAAGTGTTCGTGGCCATATCGCATATTTAACCTCTTCTTCAGTTGTTCGAAATCATCCGTCTCCTCTACGGCTATGGTCTGGAGCACATCTAAGGCATCTCCTCGAAGAGCTATAGTCAGGTTTACAGCCTTTTCTTTTTCAGACCATCCATTCGCTCTTGCAGCTGATTCGAACTGTTTCATGTAGTTGTTCCATGATGATTTTCCGTCGAAAGTTGGAACTTTAACATGAACAGAAACTCCACATCCTTCAAATTTCGGCCGCGTTTCCAACTTACATTTCGTCTCGTCTTCTTTTGTCTCTACGGTAATTGGATTATTTCCTCTCTCTACCATTCCTGTTCCCTCCATCTTCCTTTCCATCTCTTTCATCTTTTCTTCGAAGGCCAACATATCGGCAGCAACTTGGTTTTTTAACGAAGACATTCTGTCGTCGAGGGCAGACATCTCAGCAGTGACTTTAGAGATTTCCAAGGAAATGTTGGCAGAAACTTTGCTTTCTAGAGAAGAAATCTTGTTAGAAATTTTGTCTTCTAAAGAGGCGATGTCACCGCAAACTTTGGCTACATCACCAGAGATTTTGACTACGTCGGAAGAAACTTTCGAAATCGACGAGATGACAGCAGCATGCTTGTCTTCAAATATATAAGTTTCCGGATTCAAACCTTCTTCCTCCAAAGCCTTCTTTAGTCGTTGGATTAACTCAGTCTTTTTTCCGGTAGAAGCTAATTCTTTGTCTTCAAGATGCCTTCTTAGATTCGTAACTGTGAGCTCGTAAATCGTAGCCATCGTTCACCAATTTGACTTCTTTTCAAAAATTCAAATTAAATTTATCTACAACCCCACTCCTGTACACCACTGTGGTATATTTATATAGTTCTGATTTATTTGTCTTTATTCTAATTTATTGTCTATAATCTAATTTATTAAAACTCACGATAGCTAATTACTAATTTATTAAATAACTTTACAAATGTATTTATTTCACGTTTCGTTACATTTAAATATCGCGTTTACCGATCTTCTTATGACTGACCCCTTAATGAAAGTCTCCCCTTATTTATATAATTCCAAGCCGGTAAACAGAAAGGTGTAGAAAATACCATGCTGTTCTCGATGTAGACACAGCGGCGACTGGTCTCAAAACATGTTCTTTATCGGCTTGTCGCACCCAGAACATTCGATGGTTGTTTGTTTAGCGAAGGGGACCCAAATGATGTCAGGCAGATTTTTGACCTAGAAATTACGAGAATCAATACAAAAGAATTAGTCATAAAATATTTACAGTTCTATACGCCATAACATTTAAAATCGTAACAATACTCATCAATGACATTGAGCAATTTCGTGTCACACGATCAACAAATAATTTCTTCATCCAACAGTTTCTCTTCCATTTTTTTTAAATGATAAGGATAACAAGCACAATGCTGTCATTTTCCTCCTTCTAATTATAATTTGCGTAGTGTTTACTCGAACATTTTTTGGTATGTACGCCGTCGTGAAAACAAACTAGAACTGAAGTTGGACCGCTATAGTTGGATAGAAAGTCGGTGCGTGAGTGCAGACGAATATCCATTTAGTAGTCCTACTAAATGTGACCGCAAGTGCCCAGCTCTACAGCGCGAACGGACATTGTTGCGGTCATTGTTGACTGATAAAAAAAATAGCTGGAACAAATTGGAAGTATGTTGCTCAGGATAGAGACCGATGGAAGGAGTTAGGAGAAGTATATGTCCAAAAATTGGCGATTGAAGGCCAAGAAGAAGAAGAAGAAAGTTTTCAGTTATTTGATGTTTATTTCCACTGCGTCCTTATCCATAATAACGATTTTAAATCGAAATTATGTTAATAAAAATTTGAAATATTCAAATTTGTTATGCACATAATTAGGTTCACTTAACTATGTCCCTCTGATAAAAAGTTAAAAATATAAACACTCGGAAATTTTACTGCCGATAGTCTGACAATGAATCTATTTTCGATCAAGCGCAAAATTTTTATTTTTATTTTTACTTGTCTCTTGCAATACAACAAAACTACATTGCAAAACCAAAACATAGCCGGTCGGTCGGTCTTCTATTTCTTCTCAACCTCAACATACACCGACGAATCAAATCAACAATGACGTAACGCTCGACCAACTCGCATTCAGTTCGACCGTCGTGGGGGAACTCGAAAATGAAAACATACGGTTTCTGTATTTGTTGCAGTAGGCTGTGAAAGCCCCTTCCGCAATATAGACGATTGTTTATACCGTTAAGCTCGCTTTGTATTCTCGCGGATTTTTACGCAACTTCGAATCGCGTAAAAATGGCACGAAAGAGGTGAAAAATTCCCTTTTATTTGTATAAGTGGCGAGTGAGAGAATGATTTATAACGGAAAAATATTTTACGGCGATGCCAAAGCCGCCTGCGTAGGAATTTTAGTGTAAAAATGAGATTTTAAATGTGTTTGTTGTTGTATTTATACATTAGGTAATTCATTTAATAAAATGGAAGTAGTAACTGGCAATAAATTAATTAAAAACAGAAAAATTCACTTCACTCGAAGCTCGAAAACTAAAAGTTTAAATAGAAATCATAGTATTAATAACAAAAATAACCGAATATCCAGGTCTAACTCGCTTAGAAGTTCTTTTAAACATAACAATAAAAATGGCACTAAAAATATTGAGGAACTTAACAACTATATAAACAATAACAGGAGAGACGGGCAGAATCAGGAGGAAGTCTGTTTTGGCGAATTCACCAGGTAAGTGAGGTTAGGAGATAGAAAGTGTAGTTGTAGGCTTATGCAACGTGTATATATAGACTTTAACACAGGTAACAATTGGTTGAGATAAGATAACGGATATATTTTAATAAGTAGAACACACGCTGAACAATGATGGATGATACGGTTTATAGTTTGCATTCTAAAGGAGCTACATTTTTGTTTAAGTGAAATTAATTTTATTTTAAATAAAATTAACTCAATGTGATAGATATAAAATATGAGATTTTATCATTATTAATAATTAGATTTTCCTAATGACATTTCCGTAGATAAATTTTGATATGGTTTATGTTGATATACGAGTAAATTTTTAAAATATAGTATATTATTGTGGAATTCATCTGTCACCACGTATTATTCGATGTTTTCCTTCTACACTCTTCAGATGTTTGTTAACAACTTGTTAATGAGTGATTTTATTCTCTAAGTGTTAACATGTCCTAGTAATCATTACTTCTTCATCGTCAATCTTCAGGACAACAAGAAGTTTATATTATGAATTGTGCGAATATATTTATTTTTATTTTATTCTTTTCAATTATGTTCTGAAATATACCTCCTCTGATGCTCATACTCTCAAATCATGAACTTCACGTATTAACTTATTAAGAGGTTCTCTATAACTTTTATGTTATGATAAGTTGTCGTAAATCGTATCAAACGATTTGGTTTCTTTTAAGATTTCGTCGAGAAAGTTATAAGAGAAGTTTGATTTTAAGGAAGCGGTATTTGTTCTTTCACCAAAGTTTGCACCAAATCATTATGATGAAGCCAAACATACAGTGATTTATATCATCATTACTATCACAATAATAAAGTTCTGATTGGTTTAGGTTTAGTTTGTAAAAGTACGCCTTTAATGTGATATGTTTAAAAAAACATCTAATGAACATGTGTGTAGATTTTTATATTGTGGTAGTATTGTGGTAGCTTCCGTACAGCCAAAGGCTCGGTAGATGAAACAAACTGACTTTTAATTTAAAAGCTTTTTTTTTTCGACAACATACCATTCAATACTAATTTTGTTTTACACTGTGCTTACTTAGTGAGTAGATCGCTTTTATCCAGGAGTTGTTAACCGAAAAACTAAAGTGGCCTTTTACCTAAATGAGAGTGACAAAAGTATTTGTTTCAGCAACTCTTACGAAGATTTTAACAACAGGGTGGTTAATTGATAATCAAGGGAATTTGTTAAAGCAGATAACGCAAACTTTAAATCGTAATGAATACTACAATTTGGTGGTCAGAAATTCCTGTGTTCATAGCCCGTTCTAGAGCTTTATTGCAAACAATTCTGCAGAATATATGGAGCAGTCCTGATTTAACTTAAGGATTGCGGATTCTCAATGAACAAAGAGATTTTACCATTTGGTTCTTGCTGTATGCTGTATGTATATTCAGTCTCCTTTTGATTATTCGTCGGATCTTCTTTTAAGGATCATTGTTGTTGGTTCAACAGTTCTTGTTCTTATTTGGTATTTACTTCTAATACTCAGTAACATATATAATAAATAGCTCATGGCGGATTTAGAAGACGTGTTTCTTGTTTCTTTGTAACTGTGTTTAAATTTATTTTGTCTTATTCGGATTGGTAGCCTAACTCTTATTTTTCCATAATTTTGTTTTCAATCTCTAGTTTGCACCATATTTGTATCGTTTCTTAAGTAAAGTACGTAAGTATATAGGTATTTTCTATCAGTTTTATGATATTCAATAATCCTTGTCTATTATAATATACATAGTAGATATATAGCGTCTGATAGTCGATTTTATCGAATGCATTTTGTACATTGTATTTTGTAGACTTCTCAATAATTTACTAAAGTACCGTTAGTACTTTTGTTACGAATTTCAAAATGGAGCCTACGAGGTTTATTCTTCCATCTTCTTGTGGTGCCTATATGTTATGGATGTTGGCAACTAGCATGGCCATTCTAACTTTATTGACCGCAGCTCGAAATAGTCCTGAAGTGATCAAGGAAAACCATTTTCGTAAATTCTGGAACCATTATATTCTTTTTCTTCCTGGTCCCCTCTTTCCGTAGACCTTTCCCTGTAATATAAGTTGCAGCAGGTTATATCTATGGTCGTTTCGCATTATATGTCCAAGATATTCTAGCTTGCGCTGTTTCACTGTGGATATAATTTCACATGTCTTATCCATCCGACGTAGAACCTCGTTTGTTACTCGGCTCACCCAGGAGATCGTCAGTATCCGTCTATAACACCACATGTCAAATGCCTCGAGTTTTCCCATGGATGCCTCGGTTAGTGTCCATGATTCAACCCCATAGAGCAGCACTGTAAACACGTAGCATCTCAATAAACAGATTTTTGTTTTTAATGGTAGGTCGTGGCTCTTAAATATCTTGCTCATTCGGACAAACGCTGACCTGGCTTTTTCAATTCTCTGTTTTATCTCAACTGAGTGGTCCCATTGGTCGTTTATGGTGGTTCCTAAATAGTAGTAATGGGGCACTTGGAGTATTTGTTGCTGATCTACCAGTAATTGACTGGATGTAATATACTTCTTACTGATGACCATGTACTTTGTTTTCTTGATGTTAAAATCAAGCCCGTACTCCTGACTGATTCTCCACAACTGCGTTACTAGTGTCTGTAAACCTTCTAGAATGTCTGCAAAGAGGATGGTGTCGTCTGAATATCTGATGTTATTCAGGCGTTTACCATTTATGAGAATACACTCTTCGATATGCTTTAAGGGCTGACTCATAACGTGTTCCGAATAGACGTTAACTAATAGGGGAGAGAGCAAGCAGCCCTGTCGTACTCCTCTCTTTATTGCAACTTCCTCTGTTAGTCGGTCTTTCACCCGAATGGTTGCTGATTTACTTACTTACTTACTCCGTGGTGTTACAACCCTTCGTGGGTTTTATTCGACTCGACAACATGCCTCCACTGTTTTCTGTCTTGAGCAACCTCCATCCAATTCACCACGCCTATAGTGCTTAGGTCTCCTGCTATATTATCTCGCCACCGGAGACGAGGGCGTCCGCGTGGTCTCCTTCCAGTTGGGACTTCCTTCCACACCAGTCTTACTGTTCGTTCGTCAGAATGTCTTCTGAGGTGTCCTGCCCATTGGAGTCTTCTGGACTTTATTTCTTTTATGATGTTGGCGTCTGGGTAAAGTTCTTCAAGCTCTTTATTAGTTCTTATCCTATATTGTCCTGATGTTTCATCAAGCACCGGATCAAAGATCTTCCTTAGGATTTTTCTTTCCCAAACACGTAGTCTCTCTTCATTTGCCTTTGTTATCGTTCACGTTTCGCTTCCATACATCACAACGGGTCGTATGATTGTTTTTGTTTGCTGATTGGTTGTAGTATATGTTCTTGATTACTCGAAGGTCTTTGTTATCCAGATCAGTTGCCTTTAGTATATCCATGAGCTTATCGTGCTTGATTCTTTCGAAGGCTTTCTGGTAGCCGATAAAGCATACATAAATATCGCAGTTGACCTCTCTGCACCTTTGAAATAATACCTGAACCGCAAACAAGGCTTCTCTTGTACCTAACGCATTCCTGAATCCAAACTGCGTTCGTGAGATCTGTGACTCACATTTCTGATAAATTCTTCTGTGTATTATCTTTAAGAAGGTCTTGAGAATATGGCTCATTAGACTGATAATACAATGTTCTTCGCATTTTTTTGCATTAGGTTTTTTAGGTATAGCAAGAAATATAGATTTTAACCAGCTCTCTGGGATTTTTCCTGAGTAATAGATTTTATTGAACGTTGTTGTAAGCCATTTTACTCCTTCGTCTCCCATGATTTTTAGAAATTCTGAATGAAAGTTGTGCTTGGTGCTTTACCTTCTTTGGTTGCTTTAATTGCGGCTTTAACTTAGTCTTGAGTGATTGGTGGTCCTGTGCCGTATTCCATAATTATCTGGTTGTTGTCTCTGTCGTCATCGAATGTCTTCTCAACGTATCTCTTCCATATATTCCTTGTTTGTTCAATATCTATTACCGGGTAGCCATGACAATCAGTCATATGTCCTGATCTCTTGGGTTTATACATTGCTGCTGCCTCTTTTACCTTCTTGTGGAGATTAAACGAGTCTTGTCTACTTTCCAATGATTCTATTTCTCTGCATTGATCTTCAAACCATTTGTTTTTGGTTTTTCTAATAGTTTTTTATTTCTTTGTTAATTCGTTTATACTCCCACATGTTTCTGTTTTTAGCCCTTCTTCTATTCTCCATCATATTTAGGAATTCTCCATAATTGATGGAATAGTGTTTTTCGCCGTTCTTAAACAATATAATCATAATACTGGTTCGCCATCTCTCAGGTATTCCTTCCTATCTTATGACTTTATTAAACCACATTGTTAACTGTTGAATTAGCTGTGTTTCTTCATATTTTATGAGTTCGTCTGCTATTCCATTATTCCCGGATTTGGTTTTTTTTCCTTTTTTTTTTGTCTTTTTATTTTTCAGATTCGTTAGAGTTCATCCGGGTTCTGTTAGTTTTCATTGTTTGTTTGAGGTATGCTACGACTAAGATCTTTATCAGATCTTTCACTCCGGTTCCTTGCCATTTTATCAATCTTCACATCTCTTTCTGCAATATGTAAAGGTGATGTTTCATTTCTACGGATGGTTTTTTTCCACTGTTCTGTTTTTTTCTTTTCTTACCAGCGTATATGGCTCATTACGAACTCTCCTGTAGTTTTTATAGGGTTATTGTGTTGTTTTCGATACATATGTTTAACCCTTTCATTACTGATTTCATCGTAGCTAAATAAACCTGTTTAAAACGACTTTAATCGTATTCGTTGATACGTAGAGACCTAACAAAGTGATTGATTTTTTTTTTGACATTGTTGGGTGTCCTTATGTACCTATCCTTAGAAAGGACATGGGACATATATGTCCCAATAGTGTTGAATAGTGGGATGAAAAATCCCATTAGTAAAGGAACAAACTTATATTCAAAATAAAAGAAAGTACATTACACAAAAATAAACATTACTGCTTATGAATGATGTGGTAAAAAACAATCTTTGCATAGAAGCACATTGCACGCTGTAAAAATAGTCGAAGTTCGAGTTTCTGATTTATTTTGTGAACATCTAAAGCACCTCCTAGTAGGTATTTGTTGTGGTAAATGGTCTCCAACGTTGATCATCTGTTTCTGTTGTTTAGATGTTCTTCCAAAACGGCCACTTATTCGTCTTTTTACATTTGATTTCGATCTTCCTAATTTAATTTGCTGTTCTGCTAGTGGCACCAAAAAATTCCTAAGTGAAAATTTTGTATTATCTCGTTGTACACTTCTTTTATGCAAATCCTTATAAAGAATCCAAGAATTTATATTAGTATACATAACTAATCTATAAAAAACTTTTCTTCAACATTTAGCAGATTTTTTGTCCATATCATATGTGCTAACATTTTGATCGGCGAGATCTACTCCTCCCATAAAATTATTGTAAAAAATAATTACTTCTGGACAAGTGAACTCAGCTTCTTCAGTTTTCAGCTTTCTGTGTATAATTCCAACAGTTGTACTGTGACAATTGAACATCAGCATTACTTTTTTCATATCTTTCCATTTAGTCGCTAAAGTTCCTTCGGATGACTCCATATATCCCCTTAACATTTTTTATTTTCAAATTTGGCTACGTTTACCCGATTGGCCATATAGGCTCCTAAACATGGATATTTTATTGTGTTTGGTAGGTTGAACGAAGTGAAAAATCTATAAAAGCATAGACATATACCTGGTGACCGTGTGGTGTTGGTTAGAGTTTCAACAACTCGTTCTTCTAGAGTTTCAATATGGTGTGGATTGTTTTCTCGAGTAAATATTGAAATCGTATAATATACGATATGTTTTTTAGGAAACATCAAAGGAACATCTTTTTTAGTCTTTCGTTTCACTTTATCAGATTTCAACCAACCAAAGAGGTAAGCATTTTGAACATTCCGACTCTCCATCTTCCAAAGTTCTGTGACAAATTTTGCGCTCTCTGGTAGTGATACAATCTCAAAACATTTTTGTTTGCAATTACATTTCGGCGCTTGTTCTCGTTTCTGAATTTCTCGCCCTTTTCCCCTATATGTTTCTCCATGTTTACGCAACTTAATATTTCTAATATGACATTAAAACCCTTCTTGCGCTTTCGCCCTTTCCTTTCTTGTTCTTGAAATCCATCGTCGTTCTTTCGTTTGCATTCTTCTTCTTCTTGTTCTTGAGATCCATCACCTTTCTTGCTTTTTTGTACTTTTTTTCTTGTTCCTGAGATCATCTTTCATCGATTGAGTAGGGATCACCGTATGAAATTTCGTCACAGGATTTACTGTGGACACCATAATTTTCGAGTAAATTTTTGTGTAGACCGGTACTGGTTTTTTACTATTTTTCACACACGGGATATTTTACATCCTGACAAACGTAAATACCATCTTTACCACTGCAACAGTGCCATCTGTTAGTACTTTTTGGTAAATTGAAGCGGGATCTGTTTTATGTACGCATTTACCATATATAGTCCAGTCGACAGAGAATTGACCCCCAAAAATCATACGAACAAGCTGAATTTTGCCGAGAATATTAATTTTGGGACCCCAGAGAAGACAAAAAAATACTTTATCACTTTTGCTCTCAGGCTTCCCCGTAAAATCCCCCTCGTAGGAAAAACGCAAAAGAACCGATTTGTCAAGAATCTGTACCCCATAAAAAAAATGTTTCAAATAAAAAATGTAACAAGGAAATTTTAAACAAACATGTTTATCGGCACTTTTTGTGTAGAAATGAACCGTTCTCTCACAAACAGCGCTTGAAGTGATCTTTAGCGACTATGTTCAATAAAATTTTTATCAGCTCGACGGTAAAAATTCTTTTGATCTGTAGATCTTCTTCTTAGAGTGCCTTCTCCCTACGGAGGTTGGCAATCATAATGGCTGTTTTTATTTTAAAACTTGCTGCTCTAAACAAATCAATCCCTCTGCATTGATACCAATAACGTAGATTCTTTAACCATGAGTTCTGCATTCGGTCAACAGATCTTCTTCCTTGAATCTTTCCCTGTATTATGAGCCCCAAAATTTCATATTTTGGTCCCCTCATTACGTGGGCTAGGTATTCTAGTTTTCTGGTTTGTCTAGTGGTGATTAGTTCTGTTTCTTTACCAACCCTCTCCAGTACTTCTTTATTTGTAATTCTATCAGTTCATGATATTTTCAATACTCTTCGGTATAACCACAGTTCGAACGCCTCGATTCTTTTTAAATTACATTTTTTTTTGTCCAAGTCTCAGCTCCATATAATAATATTGAAAATATATAACAGCGAATGGTACGTAGTCTGATCTCCAAATTTAGATTTTTGCATGTTAGGAGTGACTTCATTTGTATAAATGCTGATCTGGCAATCTCTATTTGCCTGTTTATTTCTACAGTATGATCATTGGTTTCATTGATCAAAGTTCCCAAATACTGATAGTTTTCTACTTGTTCTATCACGTTACCATTGATTGTCAATAGGTGATGTATATTTTGTGGTCTTTTTGTAATTAACATGGATTTCGTTTTTTAGCGTTTATAGTAATTCCCATCTCAGCACTATTCATACTCAAGCTTTCGATAAGATGTTGTAGATCCTCTATACTCGTTGCTATGATCACAGTGTCGTCTGCATATCTTAAGTTATTAATTAATTTTCCGTTAACGGTGACTCCCGCTTCGATATTATTGAGCGTGTTTTTGAAATTTTCTTCAGAATATAAGTTAAACAAAAGTGGCGATAAAACATATCCCTGTCTAACTCCTCTACAGATCCTCATTTCTTCTGAGTGTTGCCCATCAATTTGAACTATGGCACTTTGGTTCCAATATAATGTTTGCATTATATTTATGATTTTACTGTCAATGCGCTTGTTCATAAATATTGCTTGTAGTTTTTCATGTCTTACTTTGTTGAAAGCTTTTTCGTAGTCAACAAAGCACAAGTGTAGTTCAACGTTTATATCCCGACATCGCTGAATCAATATGTTCTAATATATGTATCTAATATCCTCCTCTAGCATTTCGTATATTCTCTTATGTATTACTTTTAGCAGAACAGATCTTTTGATACAAGTGTCCTATCGACAAAAATCAAGATGCGTTTTTAAGTGAAGCTTTCGTATGCAGTTTTTGTATTTTGCCGCGAATAAGCTGTTTTTATAAAGGCGTTAACTAAATAAATGTCGCGCGATTTTTGCCATTTTTTATGGTTTTCGTGAGATCAATCGAATTGATCACTTTCATTGACCGGTCGTAGCAAAATTTCCATTGTTAGAGATTAATCTTTAAATCCTATGACATGAAATTTCAATTTTGATTTGTGGCAACAAATATAAGGCGTAAAAGGCGAGTTCTTTTAAAATTTTGAAAAACGTACTAGTGTAATTGAGAAACAAAAGTTTTAAACCTTTTAGATCGTTTGATATGTGAAAGTTTAAATTCAGCGTTTTTAAGCTTATTTAATTTCAAATGCCCCAAATTTGTTTGTCAAAACTAAAATTTCATGCTTCAAGTTTTAAAGGTTAGGCTCTGGTAATCGAAATTTCATAGTGGCCAGTCAATGAAAGGGATAGATTGTATTGAACTCATGAAAATCATTTCCCTAAAATCCTCCCCCTACGAGGGGGATTTTAGGGAAAGCCCAGGGGGGTAAAAGTGGTAAATTTTTTTAGATAGTTTCGAGGTTTTGAAAATATTTTCGCTAAAATTCAGCTTGTTCATATGATTTTTAGAGGTTTAGTGGCATTTTCGTCTCT